TAAAATACAACTTTTTCCTTTCACAGACAATACATACAAGCTTAATATAAAATTGTAGGCATGCTTTAAGTAAAATTTTAATATTTCCCCACTAGCAGAAATGCTGCAACAGCATTACTGGTCTAAGCATTTAGCTTAATTACTGATATCACTCTATTGTGTTTAAAGATCAGAATTAAAACCTAGTGCAGGTTACTACCTGTATTTAGGTAAGAGACAAACCCTTTAAAAAAAAAATTCCTTTTTCAAGACTTCATGAATTAGGAAGGGAAAATGAGGTGCCATACTTCACTTGCGTTGAATGAAAACATCAAAAGCTCAGTTACCTACATATTTTTGTAAGTCATAAACATTCCTATTACAGAAATTGGTAGAGAAACACACTTCACCTTTTTAATGTAATCATCTAACAGCCACATTACACTTTGAATAACTAGAGCATGAACAGCCTGTATGAGGAAGTCAAAACTCCAGGCTCTATACTAGTGTTTTAATTTCATTGGATAATTAATTCAAGTAGCCCATATATCAGATCATTAGGCAAGTACTTCTCAGCTGTTAAGAAATCAAATTGTTGAGCAAATTCTGTGATTTACATAGCTACAATTGGCAAGCAGGAAGGAGCTTAACTCTGTACCTTAATCTGCCTGTAGACTATAGGTGTTCTGCACCATTAAAAAGAAATCTCAGTGCTCAGAGACCAGCAGCAGCATCTCCAGCAGTGCAGGCCAGCCAAGGCAAACACCTTCATCCCTGTGTTTGCACACATCACATCTCAACTTGGGTACGCGAGGCTGTTCACAGAAAACTAAATATTCCCTTGCACAGGGAAGGCAAGAGAAAAAGTCCTTAGAGAACTGGAAAAACACTTTTCCACTACATTATTTTGTTTTACTTAATAAGGGTTGTCACAGATTTGAATGGCAATTGACTAAATACAGTATAAGAATACATCACCACAGCATTCAAGCCCTATGTGTGTTTCAGTACCCAAGTACAATAGAAAGGACCAGAGTCACCTCATTAGAGACTGCAAAATTTGTGATTGTTCCTGTCACACTTTGATGTCAATTTAAAATCAGCTTTCCCAATAATTATGATTGAAAAGAACACTTTTGCAAAGCCTATCTTTACTCTTACATTTTAAACTGAGGGAGCAGTATTTGCAACAGAAGTAGCCTGAACAGGAGCTCTCAGATTACATATAATGCCCTTGAAAAATCTTGGGTGGGGTTTGCATTTTTTGTTTGTTTGGGTTTTGAGTTTGGTTTTTTCCCTTTGTTTGTTTTTTGGTTTGATTTGGTTTTAATGAGGCTAAATGGTTAGGATTTCTACTGAAGCAGGGTGTCCTTCTAGGAGATACAACTGGCATCCAATAGCCTTGCTCAACTACTGACAGACAAGTATTCAAATCACAAGATACAAACTGCATTTCTTAATGYACTCTTTGCAAATAAAATCAGAGTTGACTGAACACAGATACTGAAGTCCCTGGAGTTGATGTCTCAAAAGGTAGCAGAGTTACACTGCGTGTGAATGCTGCCAGCACTGTTGTATATTCTGTTTTCTGCCCACATTAACAAGAGGATTTTAGTCTCCTGGGCTGTCAGTCTACCATCTTTCATCAACATTAAATTCATACATAATAAATACAAGTTTTTAGAAACATAGTTTTATCTTTGTGAGAATGACTTTATTACCCACAGGAATCAACATGAAACTGCATTAAAAATGAGAAGGAAAAGTAAAGCTGTCAATTAAATTCAGCGCTTTTCCTTCTGCAATAGTGAAATTATTTGTCCATCCCATGAAACTGTAAAATGAACACATTTGATATTTACACAAAGAACAAGAAAAATTATCAAACTAGTATTATACTGACCCCTTCTGGTAATAGTGAGAAAAACATTTCATTTGCAAGCAACAGCCAAGTGCTTCTGCCAATTGCTTAAAAATATTTATTTTCTTGGATATTGGATTGTCAAACACTTATTTCAGCAATAGCACTACTTTTACTTGGCAAACGCTCTGGTGAATTAAGTAGTTAAGAGCACCTCTCACAGAGAGGAGTGTGAGCATTAAATCACTATTTTCTTCAGAATTTGTCTTCACTTCTTTTTTTTTAAATGCAGTCTTTACATTTATTGTCCAGACTCTTAGAGGAAGCAATAATATTGATAGGAACTAATTACAGTCACAGATGTGGCCAATAAGACAAAATACTATATTTGGGTTTGGTCTTCTTTCTAAACAGAAGGTAGAGCAATAAAAATACTAAAACAGTTTTCTTTCAAAGAATATAATCAATTAACATTTTATTTTAATTTCATTAAAATAGGTGTGAAGCTTTTTTTTCTTCTGTGTTAGGGTGGAAGGGTAATGGAAAGACAGAAAAACCACTGTATAGCTTTCATATTCTAACACTTTTATGAGCAAAGGTGATTGATTCACGTTGTGAAGCAAAATGGAATCTACCTGAATTCCTACCATCCTCTCTTTTGCAATTTTGAATGCAATAATTACTGCAAAACAGGCTACTGCTGATTTTTAATGTCTTACAATTATTGACAACCAATATAAAAATATAAAAAGGACTCTGGATCATTCTTTCCTCTCTGCATAATCCTGGACATGATTAACTGAAGCTTCAAGTTTCAAGAACACTGATGCAATTTTTTTAATAGACAAACTTCTGTACTGCTCCCAGCAAATTCTGCAGCAATTCTTACTAAAAGTTTCAGGAGCAAAAGGTCAAGTCCACTACTGAAGCAAGAAGTTGCCTTCCAACCACCTCTCAAAATGTATGCAAAATGGAGAAAAGCAAAGTGCTCCAGTAATGGTTGCAATAATGGAAGCAGTATCAACACTTAAAAGGATAAGCCAAAGGCTTATCTAGGCACAACAGTCAAAACACATTTAGCCACCAAATGTGTCTGTCAAAGATAATAAGCTTTAAGATACTTTCTTTTTTCCAGATGTTTTCGTCCCTTTAGGAAATCTAAAAATGCATGTGAAGAAGATATTCCTACTGATTCCTACTACCATCTAAAATCCTGCAAGGCATCCTAGACCAATGGACATCTGCTACCTGGAGTCCAAAACTACGTTCTACATTCAATTCAGTTTTATTATTAAACTGAAGAAGGGACATGGTAGGAGTAAACAGGAAAAATGTCTCCTAATGGAACAGGAACTGCTGACTCTTCTAATTTTTTCATTTACATACAACCTACGTGAAGAAAAAACTTGACAGAATTCTTAGCCAGTTGCTCTGAAATATTTTAACAGAAGCACATAGTTGTCAGAGAAAAGAGTTCAGCCTCTTTTTGGATGAGTTATTTGGTTTTCAGTCTGGGTTCCTTTAGGGAAAAATTTTCCCATTTGGTACTAGGTTTATGAAAGTAATTTAAATTTCTCTCAGCTTTAACTGTAGACTATAATTAAGATATAAAAAAAGATACTCAAAAATACCATATCTTTCATGGCATTCCATAACAGCAGAATAATGAAACAGAGACCCTCCCCAAAGTCAATGCCTCTCCAAAGTTACTGGCCAGCATGACAACACAGGGAATTAAAAACAGCCCACACACTCACACCCTGGAAAAGCCTAATGGAGATTTTTAAAAAATATGATCAGTGCAACCTTTTGGACAACAATTAAGAAAACAAGCATTTCAAGAAACAACAATTTCAAAGCAGGTATTGTTCACGATTACAGCATCCATATACCAGACATTAATCTATAACCAGGAACAATGATCTTATTCTTACAGAACAGATTTACATAGCTGAAAAATTATGGAAAATGTGACCACAGAAAATGCTTTCTTACCTTCCTTTTTTAACCATTTGACAATGTTTCCTTCTTCCATTGTTGGAGAAAGTGCAGGCATAAGAACTTTGATACCAGGTGTACCTGCAAAACAAGCAGTGGTTACCTCAACTGAATACTTTTTCAGGAAAATTTTTTTCTCAGCTAACTGCTTAACACCAATGAAACTAAAAGTGCATGAAACTGAAAGATAATTGAACAAAAGATTCACTATGATGCTCTTGCTAAAGCTTACATACAAGCATGCTCACCAAAGAGCACAAAGGAAAACAAGGCACATTACAAAAGAAATGGAAATTCAAGAACCCTGAATTTCTAGACCTGAAGTTTTGTTGATCATCTCAAAATCCACCTAAAGCACTGCATCCTCCTTTGTCCTGTCCTCCTTCTCCTCCTTGTGGAGGAGGCTGTGGACTTTTTTTTTCAGATTAAAGCATATCTTTTAAATTAATAAAGCTTTTGCGATACTAGTATTCTGGACACTGATCATGTACCTCTTTCACTGATAAACCTTTTTAACGTTTATTTATCCTTTTTAAAGAAAACTATATCTACTTTGCAGAAATTTCTTAATTTCAAGTTTCAGTGATTTTGCCTTGGCTCAGTAAACCCATATGCAGAAGCAGCACTGTGTAGCAGCAACCATGTGCCTTGTTAGTGGGATTCTTCTGAGGGCAGAGCTCAGGATACAGCATAGTCCTTGGCTTCGCAACAAATTACGTCTCTTGTCATCTGATCCACTGTACCAAAGTGCTATTCTGACATTAATACAAGAGATACTACCTTTCTGAACTTTTAAGAATAGTTATGAGGCAAAAAATAAGTATCTTTTTAGATACAATTTTGTAAAAGCTTTCCACCTTATTTTTGACACACTTTCTTGAACTTTTATGTCTGTGTATTCATCAGGGAACAGAAACAGACACTTAGAAGGTACAATGTATACAATGGCAATTGTCAATTCTATTTCATATTCCCTTTTCTCTAATTTAACCTGCATTAAGGTTTATGATCATTTAACAGGAAACAACACCGCACTTCTCCCAGTTGCTATATTGCTTAGAGTAAGCAGTAACAGCTAAAAAAAGAAAAAAATCTTAGAAATTAATCCTTCTTCAATTTTTTACATTATTATCTGCTTTCCAGCTCAAAATTCTTCTCGTTTTTTTCCTTGCCCCTTTCCTTACAGAAGCTGTGCTAAGGCACAGAAAGAACAGGGAGGTGATTGAGGACAGCCAGCCCAACATCACCAAGGACAAGTCCTGCATGACCAGCCTAGCGGCTTTCTGTGATAGAGTGACTACACCAGTGCTCAAGGGAAGGGCTATGGATGTCACTCCTCTCTGGAGTTCTGTAAGGCCTTTCCTGTGGTCCCCACAACACTGATCTCCCTAAACTGATGAAACAAGAATTTGATGGGCAGACTGTTCAATGGGCAAGGAATTGCTTGGATGGTCACACTAAGATCACAGTGCCCCCATGGATATTGGTGACAAGTCTCTTAGAGGTACTGGCAGATGAAAAGCCATCACGCGGCAGGTTCTGGCTCACAGCCCAGAAGGCAAACATATCCTGGGACACATAAAAAAGAGCAGCCAGCAGCTCAAACAATGTGGTTCTGTCCTTCTGCTCTGGCAGGATCCCATCTGGAGTACTGCATCCAGCTCTTGAATCTTCATCACAGGAAATACGTGGATGTGTTGGATGGGGTCCAGAGCACAGCCACAAAAACAATAAAGGATGAAGCACCTTTTGTACAAAGAAACATCCAGACAGTTGGGGTTGTTCAGTCTGGRGACCAGAAGGCTCCAGGGAGACCTTGCTGCAGCATTTCAACACTTACTAAAAGGGGCTTCTAAGAAMGATGGGGAAAGACTTTTTAATAAGGCCAAGAGCAATTGCACAAGCAATACTAGCCTGAATTGAAAAAGGGTAGATTTAGACTAGCTATAAGGCAGATTTTTACAATGAGAGAGGTGAAACACAGAAACAGTGCACAGAGTGCACAGGAGCATTCCAAGTCGGATGGATGGGGCTCTGAGCAACCTGGTCTATTTGAAGATGTTCCTGCTCATTGCAAGGGGTTGGACTAGAKGACCTTTAAAGGTCCCTTCCAAACATTATATAATTTTTTTAAAATGTGAAGTGGAAACATTGTAGCAAACCTCTAACGACCTCAGCAGCCATCAATGATCTTAATATTTTAAAACACACCAAGAGCACAAAGTGAGTTATTTATTCCCTAAAACCCCCAAGACAGCAACACAACTAGGATCACACTACCCAAAACACTTGAGTTTTGTGGAAATGAACTCAATTGCATGGTTGATGTTCCCAGAAGACTGCATGAGCAAATACATATTTTTTTACCTCAGTCTTTCCATGGTAGTTTCAGATTAATATTACTCATTACTGCAATGTTTAGAAATGTATCCAAACAACATTCCTTGTAACATTCACAATTCCCATCTGAATTACCTCCAAGCAGTTTGTTCAAAAAATTTCTTCTTGCAACCTCTCATCTTGGACTAATACACAGAAAAATGAACTATGTTATATATATGAATGCTTATCTGTGTTCATTTATTTGATAAAGTTTTCTAGTATTTGAAGTATGATGGACAAAGTAAAGCATGAGTTAGCAATTGTCTTATGTTATACACATCTACTCAAAAATCGTATTTATCAATAACAGCAAGCAGAAAACAATACATTGCAGGATGCAAAAAAGTGTTCTCAGTTTCATAAGTCTAACTTGACAAGTCTGACTTTGACAATCAAAATATCATCAAAACATTATTCTGAAGTCATATCCCACAAGCAACTAGGTTTATTGAAATTTAGGGAACAGACCTCATTAAAAAAAAGTGAAAATAATCCACATATTTAATGAGGAAAAAACTAATTTTTAAACCTAGTGGCTCACATTTCTCTTCCATTAAGAGCTACTTGATCCATTTCCCAGAAAATGCTTCATACTTTGGCTTAAATACAAAACTGAGCAACAAAGTTGTGCCACTCTAACATTTTCCCTTCATTGTTATGAGCAACTACCACAAAACATATAATCCATTCTGTCCCTTTCATCAAATTACAAGAGGAATTCTAGCAGCAATGAACCAATGAAATGAACAAATAAATAAATAAAACTGGACAGAAAGAAGGAAAGAAGAAAAGACCTTGTGCACCCATTAAATCCTCATGCACAGAGATGTCCATGTTCAGAGAAATTCAGTGTTGTTGCAATTAAGAGCCTTGTTCAGCATGAAATGCACAAGAACACCGGCTACAACAAAGCTTTCAAAGCTGTTTTAACTGCTTCCTAGTTAATGACCATACACATACAAAAACCAGGCTTAAATGTGCCTCTACACAGAAAAKCAATTCTATAATGAAGAATTCCCTTCACCAAATATTATTTGCCCTCATTAAATTAAAAAAGGGGATAATAAAAGAAATCACTGCGTTCATGTAAGTTAATTACACTGTACAGGCAGCCCTCATAAGTACTTTGGGAAGTAAATACTACTGTTTTGGAATTAGGGATCAGTGAAAAGTTCGGGCAATTTGCACAGAATCTCAAAGACTGAGCTCACAGGCATATCAGAATTTAGAACCATAAGTGTGCAAAACTTCTGAATTCCTAGTCACTATGCACTGATTTTTTTTCTAACAATGGAAATTGCGTATGCACTATTACATATCAATTATCTGAATGAAAAAGGAGGAACACTTCAAAAAAACCAAACTTCACAAGAACAAGAGGCTGTTGTTTTAAAGACAGCCTTCCGTGTATCCAAGAAAATTTGTTCTTGTTGACAGGTTTTAGGACTCAAGTTGAATCTGGGAACATTTCTGCTGCCTTCCCTCTCCATGAAGGGATTCAGTCCATATTTAGGCTGCACGACCAACACACGGCAAGAGTGGGGCACTAAGAGAAGAGCAGAACAGCACACCTCTATCACTTCCTATAAACTATGAACTAAGAATCCCAGTGAGAGTGGTTTTTGTACTTCCTAGCTTCCTACACACACTCTGTAGTCAGAAGAGAAGTGAAAAATGTACTGCCACTTGACACCAATTATAAGATTATGAAACATAAAAAAAGAAAAATTGATACACCTCTAACATAGAGATGTGAGGCAAAGAGGCAATTCTGGTGTTTTTCTATTTTCTGTTTTTCCTCTTTCTCTGTGACCAACAAACTAGGAATTCCATTCTGAATTAACTGTGTTAATTATGCAAAACAACTTTACCAGCACCACAGACAAGGACAGAAACATACAGAAAAACAAAAAACTCACGTGACATGAAAAACTAGACCCCCATGAACCAATACTTCAAATAGTGGCTTTTTTAGAAACAGWAAAGCAGAGAAATAAAACTAATGCTAAAATAAAACTGACTTKATGGTAAATTGTCAWACTAGGAACCAAGAGTGAGTTTTAWGTCCAAAGGGGCTGTATTTTATCAGAGAAGTTATGATTTCTCCTCTTCCATTTTAGAAGCAATAATAAACTTAAGAAAGATGGTGTCACCAAAATACACACCACCTTGAAAAGCTGTAAAGTTACTGGAAGGGTTGAATGAGGAAAGCCCGAATGAGTTAAAGGTGTGATCTCTCCACCCTAACACTTAAAAGCTTACTGTAAGGAATTAAAAAATATTTTAGTCATTTGCATATCCAAATTTAGAAATTTAACTCCAGCTATATATTAAGTATTCTCACCATAAAACACACAATAGATTGTCTGGGAGGACTGTAGACAGAAGTTCTTCAGGACTCAAATAATAAAACCTACTTAGAAGTAGCTTATCCTCCATTATATTACATATGTACACTACTATATGAAGAAAGAAGGAAATATTTTCTAACAGAATTGGAAAATAAATAACAATTATTTCAGGAAAGGGATAGACTTCCCTCACACACAGCARRTTTTACAAAGGAAATTATTTYCWTACTGCAAAGCAGCAAAGGCAACCACTGCTGGAAAGAAGGGAATGCTGAAGTCCAAACCACAACAATTAAACTGTCTCTGAGTTTTATTACATGAGGTTAATGAAAGCTCACTTCTTTGTAAGTGCACTTAAACCCCATGAGTTCAGCATCACACCAAGGCCTCCTAACAATGCACCCGATCATTGTTTAAATGCTTTACAAGTTGTAACTTACAGGTCAAGTGGGGAAAGATCGCATTTCATTCAAAGATCCATAACTCTTCCCACATCTCTTACAGAGGAAAACATGGAAGGGGAGAGATCTGCCTCATAACTGCGTAACAACAAACTTTGGAAAAATGCATCTTGAAAACTTGTTGCCACAGCCACACACCTTGACTTCTATATAGGAAAGGATACTAGACATGCAATTAATAAAGTCAAACTCTATTTCTCCATTAAAAACTAAACAGAATAACATAAAATACATGTCATGCCCTTCCCCAGTTACTTGAAACATTACCGGGAGAGTAAGATAACACAAATGTGGTGGAATTGCCAATCATGGACAAAAAACACCAGATTAAAAACTTTCTTTTCCAATGCTTAGCTACACTAACGCTTAGAAAACACTCACCTGTTTTCAAAGGTGAGGCCAAACAAACCCAGGTCCCCAGCTGACCATAACCTCCATTCCCGTCTCCTGCAGCTGGAGGAGCCAGATTCAGGGAAGGAGGCAGGGATGGAGGACAGGTGTTTTTAATGTTTCTTTTTGCTCTCTTCTCATTATCCTGCCATGACTTTGACTTGGCAATAAACCCAGTTAAATCGAGTCTGTACTGCCCATGACAGCAATCGACGCCTGGTCTCTCCCTGCCCTTATCTCAACACATAAGGTTTCTGGTATATTTTCTCTCCCCTGCCCGGCTGCGGAGGAGAGCGACAGAGAAGCTTTGGTGAGGGCCTGACATCCACCGGCAATCACCCGCTCGCAAACCTCTCTGCGCCGCAGACAAGCTGCAGCAGAGCAGCCCTCGCACCAGCCCGGCACTCACCCAGCAGCTCCGGGGTCCGGTGCAGGTACCTCCATCCTGCCCGGACGGGGAGGGAGAGCCCCGCGCCCAGCGCCGATCGCCCGGCCCGCAGCAGCCTCAGCACCCGCTCTCCGCCGCCGCCGCTCAGCCACAGGGACGCCGCCATCTTACCCCGCCCCCTCCCGCCGCGCCAGGCTGCCCCGCTCAGTGCCTGAGCACAAATGATCCGGCCCGCCCCCAGCGCCGGGGAACGCTTCACCGAGCCCCCGAGCCCCGCTTGCCCGTCCCGTGCCCCTCCCGTGCCCCTCCTGTGCCCCTCCTGCAGCCCCGGCCGTGGGTTTGGTCGCCTCGATCGCCCCAGGCATGAGCGAATGAGACCGCAGGGACAGCCGCTCCCAGCCCGGCTGTCCGCGCCCGCATCTCCCGCAGTCAGTGCCGGCTCCCAGCCCTGGGGAGGGCACCGGTCTCTCCATCCCGCCCGCCGGGTCCGGTTCGGGTGGGTGCCCACCCCAGCGCTCCGCAGGCGCCCCCGAAGAAGCCCCCGGGAAAGGACCCCGCACCATGGCGGCCGCCGGCGGGGATGCGGAGCAGGTAACGAGGGGCCGGGGAGCAGCGGGGCCCGCTCCTGGTTCGGACAGCTCTCGCCATCGCGGGGGTGAGGTTGTTCTTGAACTTTGGTAATTAGCCGGGAACTTCGCCGTTGCTAATTAGTAGGGAGGTCCTGGCAGTACTGGTGGATGGCAAGTTGACTGAGCCGGCAGTGTGCCCTGGTGGCCAGGAGGAAATTCAGCCGGCAAGACTCAGGCGTACTCAGTGTCCAGCATTCAAGGAGCAATGGCAATGAGCTAAAACGCAAGTTTCACCTCAACACGAGGATGACCTTCTTTACATTGAACCTGGCAGAGCACTGGAACACGCTGTCCAAGGGAGTCGTGTAGTCTCCCTCTCTGGAAACATTTAAAACGTACAACATCTGGAGGCTTTCCTGTGTCACCTGCTCTGGGTGATCCTGCCTTGGCAGGGGGATTGGACTGGGTGATCTCCAGAGGTCCCTTCCAACCCTAACTATTCTGTGAATCTGTATAAACGTGGTGTAAAATTTGGTACAGTTTCCAGAATGTTGCCAGCTGCCAGTCTGGCTGCATCTGCAGCACTCATGGGCCTTTTAATGTTAACTGGGGTTTTTTAGGTTTATTTTGTGATTTGATTTTCCTTTGGTCTTTTGGGGGTTTTTTAACTCTTTGATTGGGGTTTTATATGTCATCCCAACCAGAGCAGGAGTTGGCACTGTTGTGCTTCATCAAACAAATCAAACATTGAGCATATGGAAATACCTCTCCAGTTTGTATGTGGCACTGGTCAAGAGACCAGCAATTCATGCTTCAAAACCAGCATGAATTGACAGCAGGAAGATAAGAGGTACTCAACAGACTAGATAGTACAGCCTGTCAGGAAAGAGGGAAAGAATGGACTTCATCCTAAAGGGGGGAAAAAAAAAAAAGAGAGTAGCAAATGGACTTGTTGTTTTAATGTGTAACACGTTGTTACAGAGGTGAAAGGAAGACCATCTTTACATGCTGTCTAGTAAGAGAGTAAGGTAGAAAATATTTCCAGCCTGGGGACTGTTAACTGATTATCTAAGGATCTTGGTAGTCACTGTCGTTGGAGGTTGTAAAGATGAAACTAAAGCAGGAGATTCCAGACATTGTCAAATTTGCCCCAGGCTGCCATCTCTGTTAGTTCAACTCCCCAGTCTTCTGCCTCAGAACCATTGCTTCATGTTCCTGTTCATGCTTCCCCACCCCTAGTTCTGCAAGTCCAACAGCAACTGGAAACACTTCTAAACATTTCAGCAAAGGTATTGGCACCAAGTAATCATCTGCCTAGCAATTTTGCTGGTTGCTGGTTTTGCTTTTGTTTTCCCTATTCTGTGGATATTAGCAAAATACTTCACCTAATGTGGATTCTTGCTGCTAAACATTTTTCTTGGAAATGTCATTTCATGGTCATTGAAGTGAGCAGTAGAGCAGCTAATCATTGGTCATTTTAGGAGAAACTTTCAAAGCTTCTAGTTGCTGCAATAAAAAAAAAWYMAAMMAAAAAAAAGGCAYAGCATAAAAGCAGCTRTATTACTGTGGTAATGTAGATTACCTCTGACACTGCAGATACCTTTGGTTAATATATAGATACAAATATTAATGTAATAAACAGTGGAATATAGAGAAAAAAATACAAAATATTTTTCTTCTGAAAGAAATTAAAATAATGCAATTTGCCTTCTGGCTAAACTGCATGTGCAGTAACTTCATATTGTAAAAATATAGGAATATAACATTCATRAAACAATGTGCATACATTTTCTATKGTATTTTTGAGTGCTATTTAAAAATATATATTGACTAATAAAGTCTGTTCTATTGGAATTTGTAAATCAAGCAAAATAAACCTACAAAAAACTGATTTAATGGGAAAACTATTAGTCAGGTTTTTCAAAATGGATAATGTTAGATTCATTTGTTTTCATTTTTTTTCGTGCAATATTCCATAGCAGAATTCTGCTGGTGTAATATCTGTGGGCCACTTGCACTCAAATGAATTTTAGATGACACCTTTCCTGTGAAGATTGCATCTTATTTGTGGGTTTTGTTTGTTTGTTTCAAGGAGTGAATGTCCCTTGCAGAGCTTAAAGAACATTGTGTAAACATGCAGTCATTTTGTAACCGAAGTTCATTAGCATAAATTAGACCTTTTTACTGCAGCATGAAAGTATGAATCCTTTATACTCAGTTTGAGAATTTAAATTCCTAAGTTTGAGATGTTTCTGATGGTTTTTCATTTATTTATTTAATTTCTTTTCAGGATAAGTTACATCCAAGGAATCTAATCCCAGAGCTTTGTAGGCTGTTTTATGGTTTGGGCTGGGTAACAGGAACTGGTGGAGGAATCAGCTTAAAACATGGGTGAGTAATGATGAAAGAGAAATTATGTGGTGGTTAGAGGGAGAGCTGGCTGTGTTTAGTAGTTGGTGAGGGGATTTCAGTTCCATGAGAAATGTTTGCAAGTCAAGAGTGAGTAAGAGTTAGAGGGGGAGGTGAACAGTGTGCCAAGTTTAACCATATGGAAAGGAGGTGAACAGTGAACTAATCATTGCAGACCCTTCAATGGAGAGAGACAACTTCAGAGAGTGACTTTCTATGTAATTTTCCTACCTGTAAGGTAGATGGATTGTCTTTGAAGAACAATGTATTCCCCCTTTTCTATTTCATTGAGTACGGAATTTAGAGTGAGTTACATACACAGCTTTCAAGTGCCTGTGGTTAAATAAAATCAGTCTCACCCTGGACATTTTGCAGGCAAGATATTTCCTCTAAGAAGGGAATTACTATTCTACTGAGATAATTTCTAAGGAGACAAATACTGAACATATAATTAAAGCAGGACAGGTAACATCAACAATTTTTGGTCTGTGTCACCTACTAAGAAGCACCACTTCAGGTTTTAATCTTCATAATCCCCAAGCTTTAAGTAGAAACAGAGCTCCTCTCAGTGGCCACTGAAAAAAGGTAAATCCTCATTCTGCAAAAAGCCTTGCACACTGCCTGCAATTCTGTCCCCAGTCACAGGGTTGTGACACACACTTGAAAGTATCTGACCTCTCACTTTTCTGGTATACACTTGCATGCATGTACAAACATCCATTGCTATTCAACTATATATTTTATACGCATATGAAGAAAAGACCCTAAATGCTCATATTTGTGCTGTGTGGACTTTGTGCAGGCCATTTCACCTTCCTGCTTGATTTTGCAAACAAAGCAACAACAGTAATTATAATGAGAGGAATGAAAATAGTGTTAATTCTTGTTTTTAAAGTTGTCTAYGGAAAGACCTTACTAGCACTAATTTGTCATCAGTAGCTAAATGTGTCCTGTTTTCGTTGTCATTCCATGCAACTCCTGTTGATTGGGGCAAGACAAATGACTTCATCAGAGAATACATTAACGTTGTAATACAGTTTTCCTCAGTGGCTCTGTAAGTTGGTTGGTCAGACYACACTGAAATACATTTTTGAGTTTGTACCAATGTTGTACCTGGTGTAGGAATAGTAATGTATATGTGCTGTACTGCTTTATATCTACAGTAAGTAGCTGAGTTTCAAAATGAGTAGCTATAAGGCAGAGATCAGACTTAGATCTTCAAATTGTTACATAGGAAAATGTAAAAGAACAATTGAATTTTGATTCAAATGTAACAACTGTTTTTACCAGCTAATCTTAATCAGCCTTAGCCACTGTGCAGTTCCTATCAACTATGAGGAAAAAAAAATGCACATTTGTACTTGGGATAGCATATTAAAAATGGATGTAGAATTCTTTRTGAGGTATCTTGTATTTGAAGACCATATTTTGTCATTAGATTTTCCCTTTCTKKTTAAGTTCTAAAAAAGAAACAAATCTGGTTTAAGAAAAAYTGTGTGTCTGTCATAAGTAACTGAATTACCATTTGATTTCTTATCTTGCTCTTGCAGATGAATTAAGACTAAATTAATGCAATGCTGACYGTGTTAATTCATGAATGTTAACAGYTSTAAATATGATAAAACCACATTTTTATGTGCTTCACAGACCTTTTACCACTATGAATAGTTCATCATCTCAAGAGTTCTATTTTTGGAAGCATTAAAATCACAGAATTGTTTGGGTTGGTGTCTCAGTTTGAAACAATGTTTTCAGAGAAGGAATGTTACAGAGTAAATGTTTCCTCTAAAGTGAAAAATTTGATAATTTTTTCCCACCAATATGAAATAGATGTTCAGGCAAAAGTGAAGAGAAAAAATTAAGTGGTTTATTAACAAAGGACTTTATTATTAAGTCCTTTATTAACCACAGGACACAGATAAAAAGTAACTGTTGGATATTTAAAAGTCCAGGAATGCCCGCCGCCCCCTCCCCCACAGCCGCTCGGCCAAGTGGTGTGGAGAAAAGATGGTGGCTCCTGTCCCTGGGGAAAAAAAGAAACGAAAGGAAAAACCCACGTGGCCACTSCCCATGGAAAAACTTAAGGATAGTCCTCACTGTGGATGAAACAGAGGGCTCGGTGTGCTTTTTCTGTCCCCGGCTTGGCTTCTTCTGGAGTCTGGGACCAGACGGAGCGGTGCCGCTTGTCCCTGCCGGCCACCGAATTGCTCCAGAAATAAAAATCAAACGGGTCGGAGAAAGGGATGGCGGTCCAAGGAGAGCTGTCTGCCTAAGCTAACAAACCCGAGC